GCCTCCATCGTCCTCCAGTCGGGCGAAGCGGACCTGCTTCTTCCGCTCCGCGGCGCCCGCCATCGCCCCGCGACCAACCTTGGGCCGCGGCCGCAACCAATGTGCCGGCACCACGTGACCTGGGTACGCCCACGTGCCCGCCGCACCTTTGCCGCTGCCGGGCAAGCTCCCCAGCGAGGAAGCCTACAACTCCCAGAAACCTCTGGGAATAAACAAACCCGGGGAGGCCTCGAGCCCGTACGGGACAAGCCTCGTGCCCGTTCTCGACGTCAAAGCCCCTCGGAGGTCCCTATTGGCTACGGTCACGCGATCCCCAGGCATTGCCCTGAACGACACCCGCCTTGCGGAAGTGGCGAATGCCCAGAACAAGAACGGTGGTGAGGTCGCCTTGCGCTGCGGTGGTTCGGGGTTGACGTCGCTGAGCAGGTGGCGAAGGACGAGAGGGGCCAGAGACAGGAGAGCAAAGGAAGAGGCGCCCTGGAAAGAGTCCACCTCAGGACGGAGTTCGGAATTTGTGTTTTTTTCTGCCGACAGCGCTTTTATTACTGCTGCTTTTATTTTGTGAAGTAATCAGTTAACGGGAAAGAGACGTTCGTGCTGTTTTGTGGTGTGTCTGTGGGCTGTTGTTGCTTGCTTGTTTTACAGTAGCAGAATGAAAGTTGTATCTGCCCACAGAAAACGGTGAAGAAAGGCAGTCATTTAAATATACCTTGGAAAATTATCTTGGACTCAAATTCCCCCCTGCTGGGTGGGAAGCTCTGGAAATTGTAGTCCGAAAACACCTTTATACAGCCAACTAAAAAGGTACAAAGTTCTAAGATGATACAGAAAGCAGAAAAGGACCTTTGACGTTCCAGTGGAGCCATCTCCATGATGTCTAAAAACGTAATGTGGAAGTTGCAGGGATTAATGAGATTTGATTCAACCATGAGGGTCGTCGTTTAGTCGTATTCGACTCTTCGTGACCCCATGGACCAGAGCACGCCAGGCCCTCCTGTCTTCCACTGCCTCCCGGAGTTTGGTCAAATTCATGTTGGTTGCTTCGCAGACACTGTCCAGCCATCTCATCCTCTGTCATTCCCTTCTCCTCTTGCCGTCACACTTTCCTAACATCAAGGTCTTTTCCAAGGAGTCTTCTCTTCTCATGAGATGGCCAAAGTACTGGAGCCTCAGCTTCAGGATCTGTCCTTCCAGTGAGCACTCAGAGTTGATTTCCTTTAGAATTGATATGTTTGTTCTCCTTGCAGTCCAGGGGACTCTCAAGAGCCTCCTCCAGCACCACAATTCAAAGGCATCAATTCTTCGGCGGTCTGCTTTCTTTATGGTCCAGCTCTCACTTCCATACGTCACGACAGGAAAAACCATAGCTTTGACTATTCGGACTTTTGTTGGCAAGGTAATGTCTGTGCTTTTTAAGATGCTGTCGAGGTTTGTCATCGCTTTCCTCCCAGGAAACAGGCGTCTTTTAATTTCGTGGCCGCTGTCTCCATCAGCAGTGATCATGGAGCCCAAGAAAGTAAAGTCTGTCACTGCCTCCATATCTTCCCCTTCTATTTGCCAGGAGGTGATGGGACCAGCGGCCATGATGTTAGTTTTTTTTGATGCTGAGTTTCAGACCGTTTTTTGCACTCTCCTCTTTCACCCTCATTACAAGGTTCTTTAATTCGTCCTCACTTTCTGCCATCAGAGTGGTAGCATCTGCATATCGGAGGTTGTTGATATTTCTTCCGGCAATCTTAATTCCGGCTTGGGATTCCTCCAGTCCAGCCTTCCGCATGATGTATTCTGCATATAAGTTAAATAAGCCGGGGGACAATATACAGCCTTGTCGTACTCCTTTCCTAATTTTGAACCAATCACTTGTTCCATATCCAGGTATAACTGTTGCTTCCTGTCCCACATATAGATTTCTCAGGAGATAGATAAGGTGGTCAGGCACTCCCATTTCTTTAAGGACTTGCCATAGTTTGCTGTGGTCCACACAGTCAAAGGCTTTTGCATAGTCAATGAAGCAGAAGTAGATATTTTTCTGGAACTCTCTGGCTTTCTCCATAATCCAGCGCATGTTAGCAATTTGGTCTCTAGTTCCTCTGCCTCTTCAGAATCCAGCTTGTACTTCTGGATTAGAATACAGTACCCAGCTTGTACCTCTGGATTAAAATACAGTACCCATGAGGGTACTAATACTAAAAAATGGCAAAAAGAGCAATAAACTGTAATTCTCCATTTTAAAAAACGCAAGTGTTGTTGTGGCCCATTTAAGACAAACAAATTTATTTCTGCTTGAGATTTGGTGTTTTGCAGTCCACCACTTCGAATACAGACTGGATTGCCACACACAAAAGTTCATGCTGAACTAAATTGGTAACTCTTAAAGGTCCTATGATACTTTAAAACAGCAAAACACAGCTACCTTTATGAAAAAATCATTTTAAAAATATAATGCCTTGCAACTAAAAACGGTCTTGTCCAGTGCAAGTCTCACAGCCTTGCTGAAGAGACCAGAGAGTCTCACAGGAGACACAGTGGGGAATCAGACTCCCAATCTCTGTCTCTGTAATCAGATACTTAAACCACTAAGCTATCCAGTCTTTAAGAGGCCTGAATCCTCTTACCTAGATATGCTGGTTTAGCAGCAATGATGTAACTTTTGCAAGTGAATTGCCCCAGGTTGAGAAATCACAACAGACATTACCAGTTGCATCCAGAGTTGTATAAGATGATAATTTCTTTTTAAGAAAAGTGAGACACAAATGTTTAGCAAACTGGTTATTCATTGTTTTAAGACAGCAAACTAGTCATTTGTATTAGCACTGTTCCATTTACAGAAGGAATTTTTGGCTCTGTGTTTATTAACCCATTGGGACATACTAAAACAAGCAGGAAAATGCTCTCTAGTTTCTTCTAGTGGTAAATTCTGATATTGCACCATGATATTGCATCTTGAATATACAAAATATAAAACAAAACCAGACTTCCCTAGGACTGATAAGAATGTGTCATAAAGCTTGAAAAATTCCTGACAAAAGGCACTAAAAACCCTTCTAAATGGTCTTTAAAAATAACATTTGAAAATATCTGGATGCTTGTTACACCAAAAGTAACTTTGTAACTTGCATTATTTTTGAGGCATGGCTTTGTTATACCTTTGTTATCACCTGTAGGCAGATAAATATACTACTTGTTATTAGATAATTCCAAGCTCTGATCCAGATGTAACTATACAATCTGTTTAACTATACGTAAACAGAATATTAAATTGCCCATTTTACCATATTACTTGTGCAACACAATGAGAAACTAGAAGACAGTACAACAAACTCCCCTACCGTAGGGCAGCACGAATAGATCTCTTCAGTTTTTACAATTTCCGTAAAAGGCAAAAGTGGGCATTTTACCCACTTATGCCAGTAAGTAAACCCCTGGAAAGAAAGATATATATCAAAAACAGTTTAC